AAAACTAATGTAGCCACCACATCTAATGATTCATAAACTGCAATATATATTCATAAACTGCAATAAATAGTTAATTTGGGCCAGCTTGGTCTGAGCAAACTATTTCAATATATATAGTAAGCTTGTAGAAATATAAGTATTTATAGTACCGCTAGTTTTTTTTTATCACTGGTTAAACTGAAAAATAAAAATAAAGAAATTATATATATATATATATATATATATATATATATATATGCGCCTTGCTTCTGGTTATGACAAAATTGTCATTTTTTTTAGCTAATGAGGCTACTTTCACACTAATCCACGGCAAAAATACGGGTATGTTTTTGCCGCATTTTCCATTGATCTCAATGGGGAGGTGTGTTTTTGGTGCGTTTTTTTTTTCTTTAACCACACCAAGCCTGCACCAAAAATGCAGCAAGAGGGATTATAAAAAATGCCCTGGACCCGCAACGGATCAGTGTAAAGAGTTCCATAGGAATACATGGTCACACATATTTCTTCTGCTTTTTTTTAAAGCAGATTACAGATTAGTGTGTAAACAGCCTAAGTGGCCCATAACCCCCTGGTCATATCAAAGCTGATTTTAAAATTATGCAACTTACAGTGAAGTCGCACGATTTCAAAATTGGGTAACCTGACAATTTAATTGTGATTTGCAAGACATCTGATTCAGATGTCTATGCAAATCGCAACAAAAATAGTGCATGTACTACTTTAGAAATCAGTGCGGCTCCCACCAAGGCGAAACCGCACCGATATGACCGCTCTAATTGCGGACAATAGAGTGCGACTTGGCATACGATTTGCAAGTCGCTTGGCTTGCAAATCGCATGCCAAATTGCACCCGATGTGACCGGGGTGTTAGGCACTTTCACACGAACAATCCAATCAGGTCCACCTGTCAGTGTCCGTTTGTAAGCCGTGTACCGAGGTGAGCTCCCCAGGATACAGTGAAGTCACGAACGAGGAAAGCAACCCCAACACCAGCTTTTGCCACAACAGAATTTTACTTAGATGTGGCAAATAAACACAACCCCAAATGCTGAAAACATACAATACACTTACATACACCCAGCCCAAAGGCTGAGACCCTTGTGCTGCACAGCACGGCGCCTTCTGATGGTTGAAGGTAGAAAGTGAAGTAATTTACCTACTGGCGGGCACAACTAAGCTGCCACACCTTACCTGTTATTACCCTAAAAGAGCAGTAATCAGTGTATGGGTGTATGGTATGGGCTAGCCTGCGGTGCAGCACAACAGCTTACAATCTTACACAAATCTACAGTATTCCCCCTCCCATAACTGGTCCTGTAGCACGTGCCTGAGTATTCCTTCTGAGCAAAACGCCAGTCTGGCTTGAGTTTGTAGGATTTTATCAGCTCTCCAATGTGAAATGTCACTTTAAGTTGTGGAGTCCTTCCAATAATCAGTAACAACACACTTGTGGCTGGACACAAACAGAGACCCTAACTAACTAACTATAGGACTGGCCTCAGTCTAAAGGCGCCAACACTGAAATGAGGTGCGTGCACGATCTTACCGACCCGGGTCTGCTTTTCATCCGCTGGTGACTCTGAACAGAACAACCGTCTCTCCAACAATCTTGCGATCTTGCAGCGTATGCTGCGTTGTTCCTTGTTCCTGCGTTGTTCCTTTGCACTCATCAGCATTACTGGCAGCAATCTTCCTTTTTCTGAACAGGATTAGGGTCTTGAACACAATGAGATTCACCCAGCTTCAGTTCTAGCCACAGATTCTCAGCTCACACGGCCCTCTCATTCAGCATCGTCCACAAACATGGCTGCAGTCCCCTCTTCCTGTTTTCTCAACTCTCTGTGCGAAAAAACTCCACCTCTTATAAATATACAAATATCTATGCAGTCTGAGCCTGTGTTAGAAAAACAGTGACATCTTGTGGCTAAACTGCAGAATGTCAGTCAAAACATCAATTTACTCCACACAATAATTTACTGCACACAGTGTTCAAACAATGAGAGCTGTTTCCCCATCTCACACGTTTACACCCGCCTACCTCCAATCCAGTCTGCTAAAGAAATACAAAAGGGGATCTGTTCCCCTCCATCTAGTCGGATTGGATCAGAGGGCAGTCACGTGTAAATGGATAGCTAGTCCATTTACACACAGAGCAGGTGGGATCTGTCCATGTCCACACTGTATTACCCCCGATTCACATATATGCGGCCGTGCGGGCTGCGTGTTGTATGGGCACGAGAGCCCATTCATTTGAATGGACTCCCGTGCCCGTGAGACGCAGGGAAGAAGTCCCTGCACTCCTTTGGAAAACGCACCCCACATAGGAACCTCGGTTCCCAGTACGGCTGTGTTTTCCAGTGCGGGCGGTGTGCCATTAGAAGTAATGGCACCTGCCCGCAGGGTCCGCATTTCTCTGTGCGGGTGGTGCGGCTGCACAGATTTTCGTGCAGATCTGCAGCGGCACCACCCATACAGATGTGAACTTAGAGTGAGGGTTGCCACCTCATCCCTTTAAACACGAACACATATTAATTACATATTAATTACACAGTTTCTGAGGCTAATGTAGTGGCGGTTCACACTGCACATGTGATACACATAGGAATCGCACCACATTCCTGTGCAAATCACATACAATTTCTGTGTGTTGCAATTTGAGCCATACATTTTGTAAGGCTCAAATAGCACCGCCTTTGCACTAAAATCGTGCACGGCCCCTTTTTTGTCCACACCAGAATCAGAACGCATGGTTGTGAACACACGTGATCCAATCCTGAAAATCGCAATGTGTTTTGCAAACCGATTTCGGGGTGTAGTTAACCCAACATACACACTGGCAGTGGTTCGCATGACAGGGGTGCCATTTTGCTGTACAAATTCCGCACCGCATCAGTGTGAACTGCCACTAACTTATTGTTGCCCCTCATCCCTTAAAACCGAACCCATGTTAATTACACAGGTTCTTAGGCTCATGTATTGCAGATAAGGCAACATTTCAATCAGCCACTGAACCTGTGGAATTAATATGAGGTTGGTTTTTAAAGGGATGAGGTGACAACCCTACACTACATGCAGATAAGAAATTAACCACTTCCCGACTGCCCTATAGCAGAACTACTGCTACAGGGCAGCAGGGCTGTGCAAAATCACTTATATATACGTGATTTTGTAATTGTAGGGGGCGTGTGAAACGCGCCGCCATTGGCGATCGCCGAGTATCACTGATGGGGGGAGAGGTCTGCATGTAAACAATACATATCTCTCCCCTGTCAGCTCCAACATGCTGCTTTGTATGGCTCTGCATAGCAGAGCCATACAAAGCAGAATGCTTACATAGTAAAGCACAGCACACACACACAGCACTCAGTAAAACACACACACAGTTAACCCTTTGATCACCCCAAATGTTAACCCTTTCCTGCCCAGTGCCATTAGTACAGTGTCAGTGCTTTTTATTAGCACTGATCACTGTATTAGTGTCACTGGGGATGTCAGTGACAGTCAGTCCCCCCCAGTGTCAGCATGCCCTGCAGTCCCACTATAAGTCGCTGATCAAAACCATTACTAGTATAAAAAAAAATGAAAAATTCCAGTTTATATACCGCCATTTGTAGACACTATAACTTTCACGTAAACCAATTAATTTACACATATTGGGATTTTTTTAGCAGACATTAAGCAGAATACATTTTGGCCTAAATTTATGATCAAATTTGATTTTTTAAAATTTTTTTTACTGGATATGTTTTATAGCAAAAAGTCAAAAACATAGTTTTTTTCTCAGAATCTTTTTTTTTTTGTTTTGTTTATTGCACAAAAAAATAAAAATGCACGGGCGATCAAATACCACCGAAAGAAAGCTCCATTTGTGAGAAAAAAAAGGGTGCAACGTTGAATGACCACGCAATTGTCAGTTAAAGTAACAAAGTGCCGTATCGAAAAAAATGGCCTGGTCAGGAAAGGGGGTAAATCCTCTGGAGGGAAAGTGGTTTAAAGCGGAGCTCCACCCAAAAAGGGGAAGTTCTGCTTTAAAGTCTGGTCCCCCCGCCTCCCATAAGGATTGGCACCTTTGGGGAGCGGGAGGGCGGGTCCCCGAAATTGACAGATACCCCCTCCCACTGCGATCACCTAGGCAATCTGAAGCGGAAGTTGTCCTCCTACCCTTACTTCCTGTATTCTTATGGGACACGTGACAGGTCCCAGAAGACTACGGGGCCATTCAGAAAGCGCAGCGCTACTCACGCATGCGCAGTGGGCACCCGGCTGTGAAGCCGCAAGCTGTCACAGCCGGGCGCCCTCACTGAAGATGCCGGCTGGTGAAACGGGAGGACACCGTGGGATCGTGGGACAGGTAAGTGGCTGTTTTCTAAAAGTCAGCAGCGACAGTTTTTGTCGCTGCTGACTTATTTTTTCACAGTGCGAATGGAACTCCGCTTTAAGCAACTTTAATTACCGCCTTAATCAGCCACAGAACCTCTGTAATTAATGTGTTCGGGTTTAAAGGGATGAGGTGGCAACCCTACTCTGCACAAACCGAGCGGACACGGACCTGTCATCTATCCGCTCTACTCCGATCAGCAGGGGGTCAGTGGTCAGATCCTCTGCTGATCAAATCGCATTCCGCCCCAAGCTGTGAAAGCTGAGGGGGGAATTACTTTTGCTTCCATTATGCTCTTTCACATTTTCTGCATCTCACTGCTCCAATTTCATGGGGGAATGTAACAAATTTCCCATGTTATATGTGTTGCGCCGAGCACGTTTACATGGTAATTACAGCATGAAAAGACATCAGTCTGTAGGCAGACAAGTCATGTGATGGTTGTGATATGGCTGACAAATGTTCAGTGACAGTCATCTGAGTCAGCGATCAATTATTTTTGTGCTGAAGGCTCAGTTAAGTGAGAGGTGTCCTGCAGACATCTGGCAAGAAATGGGTTAAGTGGTAGAGGAGTGGTTTGCTGAGCAGACCTTCCCTGAGCTTGTGACTCATCAGCAGTTGATCTCAGGCAGACATGGACCCCCTTTCCTTCTTGTTGCAGCCGCCTGTCTTCTATCCGGTGTGTACTGACAATGAGAGAGGGAGGGATGGTAATAAGCAGTCACATATGGCTGCAATGTACAGAGAAGTGGTCACATGGCAGCAGGGGGTATGGATGTGGGGAGGCTCATCTACTCTGGAAAAAGTTTAGTGGCATGCTGACAGAATCTTCTATTCAGCGCTAAGTATATCTTTCGTAAGGAAATGGCAGTTGTTTTTGACATGACCTAAATCAGAAATGATGCAGATGAAGCTGTCGGAGCTTTTCAGGTTGACCGTGCATTTCTATAGTTTTAGCAGAATATTTAAAGTGACATCAAACCATAGCCTTACGCTCCGCAAATGAATCTGTATGCATCCACTACTTAATGGCTCTGTAATCTACTTTGCCTGAAATAGTTTCTTACTATATTTTTCTGCCTTCTTTGACCATCTTTCTACCGCTCCTTTTCCTCTCACTTGGAACGAGCAGTGCAGGTTAGTTGCAGTCATGTGCTCTGCTTTTGCACACTACAAATCCTTTCATTCCTGGTCATCTTGGAGTGCATAAGAGAGGGTGTCCCTATATACCATGGAGAGTGGATGTAGCCACCTTCTTAAGTCACGGGTCACACCACACCTGAAATTGAACATAAATTGCAGCGATATCTGAAGATTTTACTGCTACGTGTGAAGATTTTCAACGACTTCTTGCAATTTGCAGTGCGATTTCCATTGTATTCTATGTATGTGAAATTGCAACATAACTGCAGAAAAAGTAATGCAAGGACTACTTCAGAAATCGTGCTGCAGCAAATCGCACATGTTAAGACACGGACATTCGTTAGATGCAATTTCAGGTGAGATTTCAATTCCCAAGACGCACCTGAAATCGCACCGGTATGACCGGGCACTCAAGGGGAGTCTGATTAGAGCAATAAAAAAGGAATTTAGAGGAGGCTATGAGTAATAGAAGTGCTTTTTGAGTCAAGAATACATACCCGAATAGATAATTTTTTTAAACCTCATTTAGTGTCACTTTAAAGTGTTATTAAACCCAAAATGTAATACATTGCAGCTTAGCAATGATTAGATGTGGTGGCTGCATTTGTTTTCTTTTGTTAGGCTTTTTCCTTCTGCTTTCTCCTGTTGATCTGGCCAGTAACACACCTCCTGTATTAGGGCCGGTTCATACTAGGAATCGCAGAGGAATATGCTGCACGTTCCTGTGCAATTCACATGCATGAATGAATGGGCTCAAATTGCACTGCACCACGCCAAAAGCAGTACATGCACTACTTTTGGAAATGCGCTGCAACGATATTTGCACAACTGTTTATCAAATGTATTATTATTTTCCGCAAAAAGACGCTAAAATATTATTGTGCACAAATATAATTTAATCCCCATACATAATAAAAGAAGGGGTGTCTGTTGTAGCTCTGACTAAAGATGAGAAATGCTGTTGCTATAGGTGCAGGCCATTTACATACTTCCTGAAGCCTGACTGGAATGCCCCGGGGATGTTGCTAAGTGAGGCCTAGTCATTCCTGCTCACCTCCGCCATCACAGGAGTGAACTTTTCCTCTGATTCAGACCACCTCACATGCTTTTTCTCTCCCCTGATATAGCAGTTCTGAATTCAGCATTGTGAGAGCCCACTCCTGTGATGGTGAAGGTGAGCAGTAATGACTAGGCCTCACTTAGCAACATCCTGGAAGTGTTCCAGTCAGGCTTCATGAGGTACATAAATGGCCTACACCTATAGCAAAGACATTATTCAACTTTAGTCAGAGCTGCATAGTCTTTGGTAAAAGTGAACAATTTAGACCGGGTACATATGTGTGGGGCCAGTTTCAGTGTAATTTTTCAAGAGTCCAGTTCATTCCATGTTTTAGGTGTGAATGTTTAAAGTATGTGACACTTTAACCACTTCCTGTCCGGCCCATGTCTATAAATGGCCGGACTGGAGCAGTGCAGGAGCTGGTTGCCGTTCATAAACGGCGCCAGCATTCATAGCCTGTGCGTGCTCCCTGGGAGCGCGCGGCACCGCGATTGCTGTACGGGACTTCTGTGTGTCCGATCATATGATTGGCCAGTGATCACATGAATAGTAGTAAGCAAGATGTCACTTTCTAGAGAAATGATTGGTTTTACAGCCTTTATGGGTGTAAAGGCAATTAGTGTAAAAAAAAAAAAAAAAAAATCATCACCTTCCACAAGTAGTAAAGTGTCACTATGGCGACACTGTACTGCTAAGGTGACAGTATGTAAAAAAAAAAAAAAAACATAATATAAAAAAAAATTAAAATGTAAAAAAAAATTTCAAAAACTATAATTTTTGGTTAACTAATTTGGGTTATTTTTTTTACTAAAGAGATAACTGAATACATTTTGGCCAAGATTTATGAAGAAAGATTATTTGCAAAATTTTATAAGAAAAACACTTTTTCAAAATTGTCGGACTTTTTCATTTATATAGCACAAAAAAAAAAAAATCCCAGTGGTGAATAAATACCACCAAAATAAAGTTTTATCTGACTCAAAAAAGATGCTAAAAAATTCATATGGGTACAGTGTTGCATGACCGCGCAATTGTCATTCAAAGTGTGATAGCACTGAAAGCTGAAAATTGGCCTGGACAGGAAAGGGGTAAAAGTGTCCGGAATTGAAGTGCTTAGCCGCATTTACCATATGCAAGGCGAGTGATTTGCGGTATGTCTGAAATGGAAGTACCGCATGATAGTGCAGAAATTGTGCGGGGGAAAGGTTTAGGACGTACGTGGTAACTTGTGCAATTGTAGATTGAACTTTCCCCCAAAAGGGTTGCAACAATGGGCATTCCCACCAAATGTGTAGGAGTGTGCCAGTCGTTTGATGGCATCTCCAACACAAATCCGAGACATTGTTGTTGAAGCGGTGAAGCAGAGATGGAACTCTATACCATCTAGAGTACACTTTAAAGTTATTTTCTTGTGTGGAGACACATATAGACCCTTTATGTATGTGTTCATATATGTGATCCCAGTCTTCTGGCTATAGTTGGAGTTGTAGGTCTGCGCTCCAGGCCTTACAAGCTTTCCTCATCAAGAGGTCATTGGTGGTTTCGAGACAGGAATAAAGTTGGGAAATAATGTCTCTGAGGTGAATCCGTTGCGCAAAGTTTCTCAAAGGGGGTCAAATGTCTAGTTGGGGTGAGCTGAGGACGAAATGATGTAGTTGCCTAAACAAACATCCATTGTGTTAAGATCAATGTTGGCCATTTTTTCAGAAGGAGATCTCTGGATAAGAGCCTTCCGTCTTTAAAGAATTGGTGCATTCTTAAGCTGTCAGTGGGACCAAGTCCCGCAAGAAAGGTATGTGACATACCCAGGGGGAAGTCTGGATTCAGTCTGACAGGAGTGAGTGGACCTGGGGTGGATGAGAGTGCTGTATTCTTGCATATCTGGTGGTAACTTGACAAAGTAGGGCCTATAAGAATGTGTTCCTTGAGCTCATATGGAATGTGAGATTTTTGTAGCCAGGGAGAAGTGGCGATTGGGGTCCCCGAGAAAGCAGCTTCCACTTCAACCCATGCCTTACGAGCATGGTTTGTAGACCAATCCACTATTCTTGCCATTTGACAAGCTTGGTAATAACGGGAGATGTCAGGTAGCCCTATACCTCCACCTGTATTAGGCATGGTTAGTTGTTCAAAACCAATTCTAGGGCGTTTATTGCACCATAGAAACGAGGTACATAATGTTTTGTAAGACTTAAATGAGGAGTTGGGCAATTTAATTGGAATTGTTTGTAGTAGGTATAAAAGTCTTGGAAGCACATTCATCTTGAGGATAGCAGCTCTGCCAAACCAGGAGAAGAATGGTTTATCCCATTGTTGCAGATCTTTGGTGATGTTACGCAAAATGGGTAGAAAGTCTTTGGCGTAAAGCTCTGTGAGATGGGTTGGCAATTGAATTCCTAAGTATGTGATGGCTTCTGACTGCCACGTGAAGGGAACATTGGATTTCGCTTGTCTAATTGCGTCCTGGGATAGGGAGATATTAAGTGCCTGGGACTTGCTAAAATTTATTTTAAAATTGGCCAAATATTGAAACAATTTGAAGTCCTGTAGTATATTAGGTAGTGTAGTATGTGGATGTGTCAGGAAGAGTAAGATGTCATCAGCGAAGGCTGCTATTTTATGAGTTTTGCCATTGATTGCAATGCCTTTAATATTTTCATTCTGTTTGATGCAATTCAAAAAGGGTTCCAATGTGAGAATAAATAGGAGGGGGGGATAGTGGGCAGCCCTGTCAGGTCCCATTTCTTATGGAAAAGGGATCTGAAAGGGCAAGTGCCTATTTCTAAGTACCCTCTCCTACTTTCACTTTGCTTGCCTGGGCAAACGGTGCAGAAGTTCAGGTCCCCCCAACTCACAACCCCCTGGGGCACATCACATGTCCCAGGAGACTGCAGGACCATTCAGAAAATGCAGCCCATCTTGCACATGTGCAGTGGTAAGATGGCTGTGAAACACCAGGAAGTCACAGCCAGCTTCATCGTTGTGAACATGTTACGTGTTCCACCCGTTTTAATGGTGGAAAATGTAGCATGTTTCCAATGTTGCAGCTGTCACCCGATTTTTCCCTCCAGCCCCCCCGGGACACCCGTACAGGGATAAGTTCCCCATAGAAGCTGTCACTTTTTGAAATAGATTGTGGACATGCGGGGCTCCCCCCACATGGCTGCGTCATTCATTCACAGAGTTCTGTGAATGAATGAACTTCCAGTCGCCTACATCCTATATGAGCAAGCAGATATACTGACATATTTGCAGGAGACATGCATGGCCCAGCGATCTGATCGCTGGTGCAATGGTTTACAGGCTCCTGCAACCAAAAAGAATAGATGCACATTTTTTTTTACCAGCAAAAAAATGTACATTTATTATTTTTGGTCAAAAGGTGAACTTACTGTATCCTTTAAATGCCTTTAGCTCATCATTTTAGAGTATATCAAAAATGCTGGCCCTAAAATTATTGCTGTCATTCTGGCATT